AGGCCACATACGCACTCATTAAGCCACAACGATTCTGAATGGAAGTCGAGTGCGGGGGCGCATTCCTCAGACGGGATTGATTAGTGCTAAAAAAAGCATTAGAGTCCATATACGGAGTAGAACAATACCGATTCCGAGCTCTACTTGGTAATGCTGTTGTCACGTACATGGGAATGGTATAGGTCCCTAAGCTGCATGTTGAACCTTTCACACAATAACAATACATCGAATTGAAGACAATGGGCATGTCCTTTAGTGAGAACAAAGTATGTATGTAGTTGAAATTTTCCCCACCGGTTTTGCTAATTACTGTCCGCTTCCAGGGACTGCTAAACCGCAAGGTTATGCTTTACGAAATTCGGCTGATGAAGTGCGAGCAGGAGTTGCTTTGAGACTTTGAACTTGATAGTTGTGTAAATTCGAAAAATTGAAAAATGGTGTTGGGAAGTCACTATCCGCTCACTTTCTTGTATGACGGGATCTGCACACAGCCAATCTTGTCATCCTTTCAGCGATCCTAAATAGTAGCTGTGCTCATGGCGAAGTCTGCATCGGTGGTACCATATGCGATCAGGAACGATTCCGATGCCTTTGCCCATATGGGACCATTCCACAGCTCGAAACACTATCATGTATGAAACCGCAGTCCACCTACTATCAAGAGACGCCGAATTTCAGTTCAATTGGGAACTACGAGCGACCTGTAAGTTCTGCAGTTAGTTAAAATCAGCTGTTGGGCACGGAAGTTATGCGGATGTTGAGTGGAATGAAATGAATTTATTGTTCTGTTCAGCCTCCCCCGCTAGGGGCTTTTACGCCGAACCCATCCCATTCGAACACAATGCCTAACTTCTTTGGACCCGACTCACTCAACTTCATCAGCCAGCTCTTCAACAAGGAGAATCCGAGCCCCAACAACCACAACTTCAATACTAACAACAATAAGTACAACAACGTAAGAATCGCAACAGAGAGTGGTGATTATCTAGCTGCTTCTAGCGGTGGAGTGGTCGATGGGGTTACTTTCGAATACCATGGTGACAGTGGATTTGGACACCGCAACGGAGCAGGAACGCTTACGCCGTTCGTGTTCCAGCCTAACTTTTTACCTTCTACAACGCCGATGACAATGACTAACAAGGTTCCAATGTCGGGTGAGTACGTTTTCTGCCATTTTTGCTTTCTTCCCTGAAAGTGAAATTATAGATAGGAATTAGAAGGTTTGTAAGGTGACACGATAATCTAAGCATTGCACGATAAGCATTGCAGCAAGGACTTCAATGTTGTCCTATGAGTTGCTTCCAGCCCTTCTTACACCTAAAACCACTAACAGGTCGGCCTTTACTCGATCGAGACCAGCTAACTATTGGTAAACTTCATGCTGAATAGGTTTTGGGTACGGATGCGATGTAGAGGATTGAGAATGAACGGAGAAACTATTACTAATGTTCCCAATTTCTTTTATAAGAATCGGGTGGCTTTATAACCCTTCTTCGTGAGGAGAAGTAGAGATGAGGTTTTTCTTACGTGAATCAGTTTGAATTTCCTTCCTTAAGTAACAGTATTGAGCGGATTCCGTTAGCAAAAAGTTGACGGTGCCCAGGGATGACCAACTGTAGTGAACTTGCTAAGCATAATTGCAATGTAGAAGACCCACATAACGGAACCCCTAAGCCAGGTTCGTGTGGTAAAAGGGCAATGCTCAGGTCAACAATTGTTTGTTGTCCCCTGAATCCGATGACTCGCTCATCCTCTAGAGTTTCGTGGATGAAAAATTAAGGTTTGAGCTCGTCCCGGAAGCGTTAACAAGGTGGAGAAGCGTTAGCAGGCTGACGATCGGCCGCTTCTTGACCACTGACTATTCCGCTCTGCAACACCACCTCACGTGCCACATGAAGGTAGGCTAGTTTGATAAGGCTCACCGTATGCCATCTTGAGTGGTCCTCCTCTTCAAATCTTCACGAGGTTGAAGGAGTCGGAGTATTCACTTAAATAATGAAATTTCGTGGAAATATAAAGTGCACCACAGAAAGATGATGATCTGATTGGGATGATGATAAGGAAGTCGGAAGGTGCGTCTTAATCGTCAACCCGAGAATACTTATGAAGGCATTCGAACGTCCTACTGTAATGCATAATGCTTAGAAAAATGTCTGAGAAGGGAGTAGTGCCAAGAGGCGCAGCTCCCCCACGCATGAACAATCCGTTACCGAGCAATATTTCGTTCGATTTTCCATAACGGTGTACTGAGTCGATGAATAGTTTTCCTTAGATTTATTGATCAACTGAGGGATTCCGGTCCCTTACGGTCATCGGCGATCGGCTTTCGTTCAATCATCGATGAGCAATATTGACATAGCACTTCACCCCCTTCTCCTCCACACACTGTTCTCGTTTTCATGTACGCTGCTTATACAGCAGGGTTCAAGATTTTCCGACATGAGAAATCGTTCCGAAAAGTCGTTTTCAGTGCTTTCTCAAATCTGGATGAGCCGGTAATTCTACAGTACATTTATCGAGGTATTCATACGAACAGTATGCATATAATTCGGTCCGACAAGGGGATAATTGTTGTCAATTCACTAGAAAATGTTTATCTGATATTCGAAAAACTTGATTCCACCCGAGTCGTAACAAAAAAAAACCAGAGAGAAAACTCTCTGACTACTTCTATTTTCAATAGCGCGGTAACTTCGAGCTGTATCTCCTGGTATCAAATTTGTGCATAACGATGTCACATCACTTTTATAATAGTGCGCAAAGCCTGAAAAATTCCGAATTTTTTGAAGTTCAACCATCTTACTTGCCGGTCACGAACCCTTCATCGCAACCACCACAGCCGATATTCGTTCCGTCAACCACCGCACCACCTGCTTACACTCAACTTCCTGTCCAGGTATTTTATCTGGCAACGAAGCCCACTTTATTCCCGTACAATCTTTCTTACTTTTTTAGCCACCACCTTCGCCAATTCTACCAACTCAACCTGTTGATGGTTACCCGCCGTCATCCTTTGGTGGCCATTATGTTCAATCTCAAAATGTTTACACACAGGAACCACAAACGGTAATTACACTGGTTCGTCTGTTTGTTGGAAAGGTTCGGCCACGACCAGGTTTTGGATAAGTTCTTCTACAAACAGTCCAGCGGTTGCATCATGCAACGATGCAGAGGCAGCAAATGGTTCAGTTGCGCCTAACCGGCCTTGGTATGAGGGTAATTTGTTGTTTACATCATGATAAAACTATATTATTCAGAATCATCCTAGCAAACCTTACTACTTGAGCCAACAAACGTCAACGACGTCAGCTCCATTGTGGTCGTTGACCAAACCGAATCAAATGAAAATCTCATTAGGTGTGTTGAAAAACTTTTTCACTGTGACCCACGTCAACGTTGGTAACCGGCCATTGCAAACATTTTTTCAAAAAAAGAGATTTCAGGAGGAAGGAAGCAGTCTGGGGTAGGAGTTCAATGTTCTCTTAATACCGATTGCATGATTGGAGCCTATTGTAATGGAAACACTCGACCACCGACTTGCCAGTGTCTCTCAACACATGTTAGCATTGAAGAACGTTGTGAACGAGGTAATATAGTTGAAAAATTTGTCTGTGATTTTTTATAGAACATTGTAGGGTTAATTGCTGCGTGTGCTACAAGCCGCAGTAGGTTTCATGAAAGAATCGACTGCATTTCGTCGGTTCGGAAATGTCCGAGCTATAATTTTTTGTTTGATGCGAAATTTGCACGACCAGCTTTCAAGGGGTCCGGTATATTCTCCAAGAAAGCGGCTTCGCGCCCGCCGCACCCGATCGCGCGCAGCCGTGCGCTATGATAGGAAAGGTTTGAATTCCCAAGGGAAGGATAGGGTAGCTGCCGCGTGATCACTGCTGCTAGCCGTGGGAATTATATATTATATATTTATTACATGACTTGAGTCATGTGGCATAACAGTTAGTAAAGAAAAATAAAAACACAAGCTCCAGGAACAAAAGCACACAGTAACCGCAATTATGCAAGAGGTATTAAAAAAGACGTAGGGGAGGTTGGTGTTAATAAAAATAAAACTGCAAGA